TTTTTGTCGGATGACAAAAGTGTAGAATGATTACTGGGCTGGAATGTCCTTGAATAAAACAGCAGTCCAAAAAATATGCTTGGATGTGTTGTTCCACTTATGAAAGTAAGAAAAACCGGCAAACTAAACAAAACTCAAAGAAAATTGATGCCTACACTGTTGAGCACAATCAAAACCGTTTGTCTCCAAAAAAAAAAACCCACACCTGGGGGTTTGATTAGGCCACCTTTAACCTCAAGGTATCTATCAATCAATCAATCAAAGCTTTATTTATAAAGCGCCTTCCGCAACCCTGTCAGGAAGCCCAAAGCACTGAACATGGTTCAGTTGAAGGTAAATATATTGAATAAATCAAAAATAAAAGCAATTCAAATTACAAAATACAAATTACAAAATAGGTGAAACATTCTGGTACAGGACAAATGTGTAAAACAATGGATTGAGTGAACCAATGGAAACTGTGAAATAAATGCAACGTAAAAGAGGGCCAAAATCAAACATGTTCTGGAAACGCCAAGCGGAGGAGGTGGGTTTTTAGGTGACTCTTAAAGACTGGCAGAGATGGGGACAGCCTAACTGAGGGTGGCAACTGGTTCCAGAGTGACGGTAGGCCTAGAACCACACCCAGAGCGCCCTCTGTAGCAGACCGCTCCACCATATCGTATTGAACCTCGATTAGAAGAAAATCATGAATCAAACTGAAATCACAATTTCTCCTACAACCGCTCATTCCTGATCAGCCGATTATAAAATCAGTGACAGAAGAAACGTTCGTACCCGTTTTATCTAGCCGGAGGTTTGATTTTAACATTTTTGGGTGATTCTGCTCAAAACGCCACTTTTTGAAATAAATTTCCATCCAGAGTTGGAAACAACACAGCAGGAAGATACACTTGTTTATACTGATTAATAACACAACCTAATGGTGCATTTCAGCTGTTTTTCTGAACCCTGTTTTAGCATTTTAATAAGGCGGCTCAGTGCTGCAGCTGCCACTTTTATCAGTAATGTGAATTTCACAACAGTTCCTGAAAATATCAGCTGGTTACGGAGCTGCCGGAGCAAAATTCACAGAAACGCAAACGAGCTGATCGTAATAATAACGCCAGACAAGTAATTCACTGATGGGATTCATGTTTCGGGATATTTTGCTCTAAGCTTCTCTTTTCTTACTTACCAGGAAATTCTGGGACTTTTTAAGATTTTGTCAATAGCTGAAGACCAGGAAGTGAGTATACCCAACCCAGTCCAGCAATCTTCATCCACCCTCTGATCAGAACAACGAGCAACTGCAGCATTTACCGTAGGTCACAAAGGATGATTAATAAGTTTGCTAATGGCGGTGGGCTGAAACCTCTGGAAGTGGGATGAGTCACGAGGCTTGAACAGCAGCAAACTCGGTCAAATGGAGGTGGGAAGCTCCTGAGTCCATCAATCACTGCTGACAGCTGGGAGAGACCCGGAAACACAGACGAAAGGATCGAGGCGTTATCTAGAACACCTACCAAATATAATAAAACACTTACAGCCTTAAAATCAGTTTCTCCATTAAGGAGCTGTTTATGGAGGCCCTTTGGTAACACTTTATAATAAGGTACGCAAAATGGTGCTTCGTTACTAGGGAACGACTTAGGGGGTAATGAGTAATGAAGCAGGGAAGAATAGGTAGTTTTAGAGTGTTTTTGCATGCTGATTTCAAAGTTTATAAATGTAAAAGTTAATTTTTGAAACGTTTTTTTGCATAACTTTCTGATTATTTAATAAAGTACCCTAAACCATGAACATTTTGTTAGTGACTGATTTGAGCCAAGTAACACTGCAACCTGCAGGATTTTGGTCACCCATCTCTGGATGAAAGAAAAGGATGTGTGAATAAGCTCAATGCCTTTATGGTAAATGGCCATGTAACAACGTGTAATTAATGGTTAGGTACTGAGTAGGAACAGATTCGTTCCTCAGTAGGCACTTGGGAGGAGGCTTCACTTTCCATCATCTCGAGATGGACGGATGCTGACGATGGATGACGAAGTGACAGACGAGTGAAATCAAGATGAAGCAGTGATGTTAAATCACTGTGACGTTGCAAATTATCTGTATCCTTCATGAAGTTTACAAAAGAGAGTCCACAGGCACTACATTCATCTGGGATTCGTTCCTTATTGCTTTCATGTTACAAGGTTACAAGGTTCCTTATTGCCTTTTTCCCGGAAAAAAGACCGATGAGCGTTTTCACCAGTAACTACTGGTTAACTACCTATTCTTACCTGCTTCATTACTGATTACCCCTAAGTTGTTCCCTGTAACGAAGCAAAATTTTGCGTATCTTATTTAAAGTGTTACCAGCCCTTTTTCTTTGGTATAATATTAAAATTTCTACTCACTGGAGAAAGTTTCAAACCTCTAATTAACTATAAAATGCAACTTCTTTCAGAAACTGATAAAACATAGAAAGAATTTGGATTTAAGAGTAGATATTTTGACATCATGAACTTTTTTTAGTCCAGTTATTTAATAACAGTAACAGAAAATCAGAGTTTATAGCCCAAATGAGTGGTGGGTTCATATTATTTACTATATTTTTCCTATGTAGTATCATGAAACAACAAAGTCTCAAAATTCTGAAAACAAACATTTACATTTTTGCTTCATTTAACCCTAAGAAAGCACACACACACAAACATATATATATATTAGTGGTGGAGCCAGACCCGAATACGGTATTCGGAAAGACACAAATAATGTGTTTTTTTTACAAATACTTATTTAGAACAAATACTTGAAAAAAAATTGCATTCAGGAGCAAGAAAAGCTTTATATCAAAAAGCTGCATTTCTTCATGAGAACGCAGTGCATGCCGGGATGAGTGAGGGACGCTCAGGAGTGCTACATGAGGTTGCACTTGCCGACACAGACTGCCCCACACACAGCTTGACTGAGCGAGAAAAGACTTAACTGCATCACTATTATTGTTGATAAGATGTTTGTACCTTAACTGGGTTCCAGAGGCAGTTCATAACTTTCGGCAAGCAGAGTTTGATCAGGGAATTATTCCATTACTCTGCATTATTGACGTCTGCAGTCGAGTGCTCTCATGTTTGCTCTGTTTACGTAGCTCTGTTAGCTCGGTAATTTAGACAATATATTGTTGGCAGAGTAACGTTAACATTCAGTTAAAAAGGTTAAAACAAGGCTTGTAGTTGTGTCTAATTGACTGGACTTGAGGGAGTTATTTGGTATAATTAAGATACTCTGTCGTGCAGACAGCAAGATGCAAGTTATAGGCTAGTTAGCCTTAGCATAGCTTCCTGTCACTCATTAACTTAGCTGATAATCCCCACATGGATTTGGGCAAATAGAAACAAGTGTGGCTGCTGCTGAGCCATCTCTTGGTTCTCCAGCAGCCAAAAATCGTGCTCAAGTTCTGTGTGGAAGCATTTCATAGTCAGTGCTGCAGATAAAACCAAAGTGATATGTAATGTGTGCAAAAGTCAAATCAGCAGAGGCAGATATATAAAACATCTGTCAACATCTTCTATGCATAATCACTGGTACTGTCTGCCAACCCCCCCCCCCCCCCCCCCCCCCACCGCCCACCCCCTCAAGCACCAAATTATCATCACAGCCATGCTCAGCCCCTGCAAGTCAGTTTCAATCACCTATAATAGATGCATTTAATTCAAAACAGCTATCCACCCAACCACCCCGCTGCAAAGCAAATAACAGACACAGTGGGAGACATCATTTGTCTTGACCTGATGCCCTTCTCAGGGCTTAATAAAGTTTAGTTATTGGAATTTTGTGCATTAGAAAGAATTTCTTTCAGAAGAACAGTTCTTGAAGTAATACTTGTTTTTAATTCGGTTTGTCCAGCGTCCGGCAACAATGACGGGTGGTGGTGGGGTTCATAATATTCACAGTGGTATTTTATAAGTTGTTGGTTTAACCACGGGTGAGGTAAAGGCTGTTATTCGATTTTACGTTTTACTGCCATGTTTGTAAAAACCATAAAGGTTCATGTGTGAACGGTGCAAGGAGACGTTCAGCTGAAAAAACACTTAAAACATAGTAGAAATTTGAATATTGAAGGTTTAGAAAGGCATTACATTTATTTTCATCTGTCCTAAAAAACTAAACAGTTTCTCTGAACCGAAGCAGTTCAGGACGAAGGGAAAAGACCCGATTTTTATACAGAACGATTTTTAAAAAGTCTCTTAAAAACCAAACAAATGATTACATTTAATAAGTTGTCCCGTGAGTCGTATTGAGTAAAAACATCCACGTCCTTCAGATTTCCTTAATCTGTCTTCTACAAGATTAGGAAGCCCGCTCCGACTCAAGTAGGTAAAACATTTACAGCAGAGGTCCGTAAATATTAGGCTACAAATGTTGGAGGACAATCTCTCTGCAGCGTTTCTGTTTATTATTCACAGACAGGCTTTGTGTACTTTTGATCCCACACCTGCAGCTTTCGGTGAATAAAATTTAATGAAATATTTATGCAAAAGTCCAGCCTACCAGGTGAAGCACAAACAAAAACGAGGAGCGAATCAGGTCGAGAGAAGCCGGCGCCTGAATGGCCACTCCAGCCCCTCTGATCACAGCTGACTTCACTCCATTGAATTAACACAGTTTTCCTGGCTACGGGCTCAGGGGCCACATTGGAGCCTCACTGGTGAATATTAGATTGCACGCCTCCAGATCTCATTAAAGGAAGCAACAGGACAATGTCTGCATCTCAAATGAGGCCAGAGGCCATCAAGCGTCCCGACTCCCTGTTGGATTCGCTGATTTGATTGATTTTGTGCGTCTGAGAAAAACAGCGGGTAAGATGTCATTGTTGTCTGTAAATATAATTAGACCATTCTTACAAATTGAACAATTGGAGGAAAACTGCGATTTGGGGTGGCGTGGTAAACGGACGGTATTATCCTGCAGCATTACAACAAGCACGGAGTCTTGTGACAGATTAGAGAATTTGACTTATTTGGCTGTAAACTCACAATATCTGGAGGTTCTTCCAGGCCTCCTTCTTCAGACGGCTGTTCACTGAAAACAGAAGAAAATATCAGAGGGTCATCCTTCACAAGCACACAAACATGGATCCGAGAGTCAGAAATCCCGAAAAACGTCTACGTGGCTGAAGATGTGAGGAAATGTGTCAAATGAGTGAGAGGAGAGTGGAAAGAGAAGAAGAAAATAGTGGGTCACTGTGGATTTTTAACAGAGATGTCCGGCATTAGCCGCACATAATTAGTCACTGTTTTAAATAAGGCACACTGGTGCCTGGAGCCACATTTATTATGGTAGGTAACCAGTAGCCAGTAATTAATAAGAAACATGAACGACAGTTACATCAAAATTAGGAGCTAAAATCTGTTGTTCTACTATTATTTTTTATATTTCTAAACATTTATTACCATCCATCAATTTTGATCCACGTATCCGGAGTCAGGTCGTGGGGCAGCAGCCTAAGCATGGAGGCCCGGACTTCCCCCTCCCCAGCCACTTGGGCCGGCTCCTCCGGGGGAATCCCAAGGCGTTCCCTGGCCAGGTGAGAGACATAGTCCCTCCACCGCGTCCTGGGTCCACCTTTATGTCTCCTCCTGGTTGGACGTGCCTGGAAAACCTCAACAGGTGGCGTCCAGGAGACATCCTAACCAGATGCCAGAGCCATCTGGCCAACTGGCTTGTCTAAATGTGGAGGAGAAGCAGATCTACTCCGAGCCCCTCCCGGATGACCGAGCTTACTACTCAAAGCTCATGACCATAGGTGAGGGTAGGAACGTAGATCCACTGGTAAATCGAGAGCTTCACCTTCTGGCTCAGCTCTCTCTTCACCACGACAGACCGGTACAACGCCCGCATCACTGCAGACGCAGCACCGACCCGCCTATCGATTTCGTGCTCTAGCTTTCCCTCACTCGTGAACAAGACCCCGAGATACTTAAACTCCTCCACTTGGGGCAGGACCTCATCCCTGACCCGGAGAAGGCATTCTACCCTTTTCCGAATCAAGACCATGGTCTCGGATTTAGAGGAGCTGATTCTCATCCCAACTCAGCTGTGAACGGCTCCAGTGAGAGCCGGAGATCACGTTATGATGAAGCCTTCAGGACCACATCATCTGCAAAAAGCAGAGACCCGATCCTCAGGCCACCAAAAGGCTGTGTCTAGAAATCCTGTCCATAGAAGTAACAAACAGAATTGGTGAATTATGTTATAATAATGTTACACAGAAGCTACTGGTAGTTTAATTCAGCTTTTTAACCCACTTTAACTTTTCCTTAAGGTAACTAACTAGTTGAAGTTACAATAGGCGGTGACAACATTCGTGGTTCAGTTTAAAAAGGCAAACAAGTCATCACAAATATCCATCCAACCATCCACCCATCCAACCATCCATCCATCCATCCATTTTCATCCGCTTATCCGGAGTCGGGTCACGGGGGCAGTAGCCTAAGTTGAGAGGCCCAGACTTCCCTCTCCCCAGCCACTTGGGCCAGCTCCTCCGGGGAAATCCCAAGGCGTTCCCTGGCCAGGTGGAGACATAGTCCCTCCACCGTGTCCTGGGTCTAACTTTTGGTCTCCTCCTGGTTGGACGTGCCCGGAAAACCTCACCAGGGAGACTCCAGGAGGCATCCTGACCAAATGCCTGAGCCACCTCAACTGGCTCCTCTCGATGTAGAGGAGCAGCGGGTCTACTCCAAGCCCCTCCCGAATGACCGAGCTTCTCACCCTTCCCAAAAATACTAAAATAAAATAAAAACATCTCTTAGGATATTTTAATAGGTTTAAAAGGCAAAGAAAAAAGATATTGAAAATAAACAGTAAGTCAGCTGAAGGATGTTTGATTCATTTTGTTAGTAAAATTAAAATTTTATTTTAAAGGCTGTTTGTGTTTCTGCCGAGAGTCAAAGAATAAAAGCCTTTTCTGTTGTAAAAACCAGAGCTTGACCTGTTGGCTGACGAGAATCAAACGCAACCTCATCACACAAAAAATGTGTCTTTTAATCAGGTAAAAAAGCCGTGATGTATACTGACAAAAGGGTTTTAAGATATCAGTAAATGTTGCTTCAGAGACATCAGAAACCATTTCAACAGGTGAAAGTTTGACTAAATGGAGCTGAAAAGACTCATTTCCCCCAATAAATGTTAGAAATTTCACAAATAATAAATAAAAAAACTCTAATGTAAGGCCATCATGACTTAATTACTTGAATTTTTTGATGAAAGACTCAGAAAACACGTGAAGACATCTTAAATATCACACCTTACATCCAGGTGGTCAGAAATCACAACAACAGTTTGTAAATCGTCTTCCTCCTCCTGCAGATGGACGGAGAGAGACAGCAGCAGCGCTGCACATCGACTGGTAAAGACAGCAAATCGGTACCAGAACAGGTCGGCCATCTTCCAAACGACGATGCAGTGAAAGATATAAACAGCCACTAATTAGCAGCTGATATGTACCAGAAGACAGCAGGAGGGCTTTGTCAGTGCTTTTACTGAAAAGGTGTTTCATGAATGTGTAACAGTCGCGTGAGGCTGAAAAACAAACACCTCTCCATCTACCTGCTGAGACGCGAGCTCCCAAAATAGATTTAAGATGCCCGGGGAACCCAGTCAGGCTTGCTGGTACTCATCGACACCCAATAAGAGCAGAGAAGACCACCTCAACACCAGGTCACTTCTGTCAGAAGCTCGAGAAAAGGCTCTTCGTCAGGTAGTTCTGCTTCTCTGAAGAAACGTTTGCAATGTCTACAAACGGTCAGTTTCACCTACAGACTGACCTATAGGTCATCGGTCATCTCCAGACCTAATTCCATCCTATGAGGTGGATTTTATATTCTATCTGCCAACAAGCCACAAGATCCTGCACTGCTTGTTGACATCCTGGAATCATAACAATAACATTCTCTCCTCAAGGTCCCTCACAGAGCACCCGCTTATCTAAGACTGCTTCACAGAAGAAAGAAGATTTAAAATTAAACATGAACTTCTAAAACTTATAAGCCAGATAATCATTAAATAAATATTTATTTATTGCTACTCATAATAATTATAAAATAATGAAATGTTTCATTAATCTGTGCTCAATGATTGATTGCATGTTTACTTGACCAGGTCATAGCATTTGCACTCACACAAGAACAAAGTAAGGTAAAGTTAAGCCCATGGCACATAAATAGCCTTTACCCCAGATCAGAGCATGCGGATCAAAGAAGGCGTGTTTCTGAGATTCTTGGTAACAACCCTAAAACTTGTCAACCTCTGGTTGGCTACACAAATCACAACATGAGAACATTAAAGCCAGATCACTCTGGTGATTCATTCAGTTCTAGAGAAAGCTTCAGACCGGCCATCTGAAGCAAAACCCTCTTTAACCACCAAAGTTGTTGAACCACCAAAGTTTTTGACACGTCGTCAAAACCTTTCTGCACCTGCAAAGCTTATACAGCAAACAGTTCCTGCAGAACAAGCTGATATTGTTTAGACTCCTTAAGAGTCCCAGACGCGCAGTTCCATCCGTCTGTCGTGACCCGAGACATCTCTGGACTGAAGGGTCGGTGCCACGGTATTCTCCAGCCCTCCGGTGCCAGAGTAGAGCCTAAAATCTGAGTCCGTGTCCGGCCCAGCCTGAGGGGGTGGAGCCCCAGCCCGACCCGGTCCGAAAAGGTTTTCAGGATTCTCTGGCCCGACCCGAGCCCGGCTTTTTTTTAACCTTTCATAATGTTTTAGCGTGATAGAATGCTCAGCATGGGGACCCAGTGGAGGTAGTGGAGGAGTACAAGTATCTGGGAACCACCTTTGACAACCTCCTGAAAGTCTCTGCTAACACAGAAGAGATTCTGAGAAAGTGCCATATCTCAACTCCTTTGGAGTCAGCTCCTCAGTCATGATGACTTTTTACTGTGCCTTCCTGGAAAGCATCATGAACTTCTCCATCAGTTGCTGGTTCTACTCCCTTAGCCTCCAGAACAGGAACAGACTGCAGCACACTGCATCAGTGTGCTCCAAAATCGTTGGCCTGCCTGTCAGAACTCTTGCTAAGGTTTTCTATCAACAAGCCCTGAGACAGGCGGCCAAAATCCTCCACAACCCCTCTCACATTCTTCACCCCGCATTTCAATGGCTCCCCTCTGGGCGACGCCTACGCTGCATTTCCTGCAAGACTGAGAGGAGGAGAGCCACGTTTGTCCCCAAAGCCATTCTGCTCTTTAACTCCAGCAGATAAGATAAGACCATCCCCCGATAAACCTTCTCCTTGGGCTCTCCATATATTTAACTTTTATACAGACGACACTTTAGTCACTTTATTCACTTACTCAGTGTTTTTTTGCATACTTTACTGTTTTATCCATCTTCTTGCTGCTTTATTACTTCCTTATTGCCTATTTATTCAATGCTCGTATGTCCAACATCATGCTGCTCTGCTGTTATTTTTTTTTATTGCCCCTCGGGGATAAATAAAGTTTTTCTGATTCTGATTCAAATTATCTGTGAGAAGAGTTCTGCAGTAAAAAAGAAAGAAAGAAAGAAAGAAAGAAAGAAAGAAAGAAAGAAAGAAAGAAAAACAGCATTTAATGCAGCTCTTTTTTCTAACAGAGCGTATTTTTCGAGGGGCAGATTAAATTTGCAAACACTATATTAATTGGATGTGTTTTTAAATTTAATCTGCTCTGAAAATGCAGAAAAAAGCAGCATTCTAATTTTCTAACTGCAGAGCGCATTTTCAGAGTGGCAGATTAAATAAATGCCCCCAATTAATATAGCGTTTGTAAATTTAATCTGCCGCTCTGAAAATGCGCTCTCCAGTTAGAAAAAAAAAAACAGCAATGAATGCTGTATTTTTATTTTTTTTACTGCAGAGCAAATTTATTCACAGAAAAATAGAATGCTGCCGTATTCATGAGAATAAACGAACGGTTTCTGACACATCAAAGTGGACATAAAATGGCGAATAGGGGCACATGTTTCAATCAGCAGAGAATTCGTTTATCGGTGCGTTTATAAACCGCACAGACCTTAACTGAGCTAACGGTGCCGGTGTGTGAGAAGCAGGCAGGTGCTGCTGCGCTTGTTTCAGTTTTTTTTAATGAATTCGATTAAAAATAAAGGCGCCCGGCCCGGCCCGTGTCCGAGGTAATTACACAGTCGTTGGCCCGAAGCCCGGCCCTCGGGTCGGGTCAGCCCGAGGGCCGGGCTTCGGTGCAGGGCTCTATGCCAGAGGTCATCTGACCTCTCTGACCTTCGGATCCACCAAGGGGGTCTCTGAAAACGGGTAATGTAGACACACAGATAACGTCTGATGTGGTTTTTGATAATAATCAAACTCATAGCTTAACGCAAACTAAAGTCTTTTACATCCAGAACTCAGCTCTCTGAGATACGTTGGTTCTGATAACATCGCATTCACACACAGGTTCATGCATGACATCTAGTTCCATCCATCACAGTAAATGCTTAGGTAACCTGCCATGTTTTAATTGTTGGTAAAATAAATTCTTACTTTTGTAAACCTGACTGTTTTCTGAATCAAACGAGTGTGTACAGTCCCCTCATAAATAAAGAATCCTAGAATCTTCTGATTAAAGCACAATAAAGACCAGGCAGGGTTGATATTCTATATTTAGATAGAGTATCACAGCTTAGTGGTCATAATATCTATTGAGCTCTTAAAGCATTCAGTTTACCAAACCCTACACATTTATCCACAAATCTGATTAATAAATATTGAACAATTAAATATCTGGCTATTTTTTTCCTTTAAATCAGAGCACACATTGATTTTTTTCCTTCTTCATCTCTCTGCAAGGCTTTCCTTTGGTGGAAAGGGTCAGCTGGGTCATCTGAAAAACCTTCAGCACATTAACAGTGTAGCCGCGTAACCTACAAAGGCTAACTTTAACCACAAAGGAACCAACCAAACCAGAGGAGAACTAACGTCAAATGACAGAAAGGAAGAAGAATTGAAGAGGATGTGGAGCGCAGAAACAAATTTGGGATCATTTATCTTTTATTATGTTGGAATCTGAGGAGGAAAAAGAAACCTAAACTGTCAGCGAGAAGGTTTCACTTGGATTTCAGAGTTTTCACAGCTCTTACACCATCACAACTTAGCCTGCCGTTTGCTTTAAGAGCACAAAGCAGATCTTATTCAATCACATTCAAAGGGGTGATCTTACACCAGCCTGCCTTCTCTCCTAAAATCCACAGCAATGTTCATCTTTGGAGACCGCTGCATTAAAGCTCAGGCGTGACGTCCACTTTCAGTTCTCGTCTGCAGACCATTAACCTGGCTCGGTGACACCTTTACGTGATCTACATCTGTTAAACCGAGGTAGATCAAGAGTCAAGTTAAGAATGTATACAGTTTCAATCACCAGATCTGTGGATTAATCCCTCCAATGGCACATCCTCTACAAAAAGCCTATTTTAAAGTGACTATAGAAGCATTCTGATGCAAAGATTTAATCACAAACACATTTTTAACTCCTCCTAACTAGGGGTTGTATGAACTAGTCGACGTCACGGCTCTGTAGTGACTTTTTATGCCTGTCATCAACTAGTCGCTGTCACGTGATAATGACTGACAAGATGCAGCCCTCCAGCAGGTGATGAGCCCCTGCGTCGGGAGGCGGAGGCGACGCGCTGTGCCAGAGCGTCGGTACTGACAC